ATCATCATGTGTGTTAATGGTCAGTTGTTATTGGCTGTTGTTGCTTCTCTGTCCAAAGGGCTCCTGCAAAAAGGACAAGGAGGCCACATATTCTGACCTCCTAGAACCCCACAAGAGGAAGGCAGAATCACCAACAATAGCCCAAGGCCTATTACTGCAAGGCCAGACATGCTGCCTCCCTCCAGCCCTTTCACCAACTGTTCCTCCCACAGTACCCACCACCTCTCTCCTGGGTTCGATAATTCACTGCAGTGCCCACACAAAACTCACAGATTATGGGGTTTATTAGGGAAGCACCACAGGCCACAATTTGAGTTCAGGAAAAAATGCTTAGTCTCTCTCCCAGCCCACCGTCCCTCGGCCAATAGTCTCTCACAGTCTCTTTCCCAGCAGTGCTGGCCGTTCAGTGTCTCACTCAGTAATGCGTGTCTCTTGTGTCTCTTTCAGCAGCATGTCTTCCTCAATCAGCAGTCAGAGTTCTGCCTCTCTAGGAGGCCTCCTCTATAGCTTGGCAGAGTGGCCAAACCAACCAATCATAACAACAGAATTCTAAGCACCTGAGAGTGGGCCTCCCATAACATTGTGTTGTGCCACGACCAACAGAAATAACCCAGGTGGATAACATTTACAATCAGGAGCTCCTCAGTTGCTCATTCCACCACTGAGTTTACAATAGCTTATGGATAGAAAAGCCATACTAAGTAATTTGCTACATTGCAGGCCACCCCCCTGGCTTTTCTAGCCATTATCCCTTTTATACTTCAAAAATTCACATCCCCAAAAAAATCCCCTTCACCATCAGTTTAAGAATAACCACACCCATGAAAGTGTGTAAGCCAGCCACTTCATGCCTTTATCTCCCCCCATTTTAAATAGTCAATTTCTAATTTGCCCATCCCTATCAAACCAGTACTCTGAAGAGACAAGCATGGTCCTTTCTCCCTGGAGAATCTTCTGTTCTGCTTGGAAACTTCAGGCATCTGGATCCATAAACAAGCAAAGTCCAGCCCAGCTCAAGCCATCAGATTGCAGCAATTTAACACCAGCTGTGTCAAACATCTTCCTCTTCGTTTGGTCGGGTTCTGGTCAGCTCAGCCCTAGCCATCCCAGCTAGGTCATGGGTACCAGTTGCCAAGTCTGGGAGTCACACTCTTCCCTTCACTTCAGACCAGCCAGCACCTTCTCTCATATCTTCAGTCCTCAGGGACTATTTCAATGCCCGTAGGCTCACAATTCATTGCACTTCAGACCAGCCAGCCCTTCTTCTCATCCCCAGCCTCTGGGCCTAGGTCAAAGAGTACCAAACTCAACCTATTTCTTCTTTGCTGCACTTCCCCCATTTCCATTTAGGTGGATCCAGGTGGTTACAAGCAAGTAACATACAAGTCTGCTACTCACTGGCTTCCTTTAACTTTCAGTCCTGGAAGGGGTTTCTCTCATGGACCATGACTTTCTTATCTTGATGCACCCAAAGCCTAAATGCTTGCTCAAAATTCAAAAAGCCAAACTTTTTTTTTTTCAGGTCCTTTCTTCAAATGCAAATCTTC